AGAATATATTCTATATATTGAATCCTAGATTTATCCAGTGACATCTCACTCATGATACTCTAGACCAAAGAAATTTGACTAAATCACTAGGAGAAAATGTTAATGGAGATACACTGATTTCAGTTTGGTTTGTGAGGTTGGAGATAAAATTAAAAATATCTTCAAGATGAGCCATCTTAATTTGAAACATATATTGCAGTTCAGAGTGATTAACATTCATATTTGTATTTTCTTTAGGTCACTGTAGTCTCTGTGGCTGGGTTTATGGCTGATACCCTTGAAAGAGGTCTACAATTTTACATCACCTTTTTAGTACCACCTGCCACATTGATTGGCTGTTTCTTCTTATATTTATACGTAAGTGATGCCACTATCCGTCCTGGTGTCCTGGAGCTCATGACCAATTGTGAAAACTTTGCCAAGTGTTGGGACTCTACAACATGCTGAACATGCATGAGGTTTGACAATTTCTACCTCACGGATTCCAGCTGATTTTCTCCCAGATAGGACAGTGTGCTCCAGCTGGTCTGTAATAGAAAATCCAGTCCTGGTTAATGTACGGGGAAGAAAGGAAATGGGTGGTGGGAAATAGAGCAGCCTTTATGAGCCTTCTCATTTGGGGCCTTGTTCACTCCTGGGCACACTCAGCATGAGAAGGAGGCAAAATGAAATGCCCCGAAAATTTGGAATTTCAAGGTTCTAGAGAAGCACCCAATACAAGTAAAGTCCCTTTTTTTGTCTGGCTGACTGATATCTATGCTTTTATGAAAGGAAGGAAGATACAGTACATGAATGAAGGGGTATCTGTGGGAAAGGGAGAGGAAGAGAAGGGCTCCGGGACTAGAAGCAGCGGGCACAGGAAGGTGTGGGAAGCTCTATGTAACAAGAATAAACACCGTTGCTCTCACTTTTTAGGAAGGCTAGCACAGATTCCCAGGATACCAGGTGGTCAATCATTGTTAAGTCCTATTGTTTCAAATAAAAGCTCATAGGCCTTGGGAGGAAGGAAGACAGCCCCTTGCTACACATTTCAGAAAAGGCACTTACCTGATAATCATGATAAAATCAGGGGAAATGTTAGCAGGGCTATTTTAGGGCCAATTCGCAAGCATGTGGATAAAATGCTTGAAACAAAAATTTCCTATTTAACCATTGTCTTTTCTTTTGCAGTCTTTTGCTGTTGCTCTTTTTACTGGAGAATCAATGGGTGTAACACCATTTCTGATATTCCTAATTGTAAGAACACATTCTTCTTTAAAAAATTATTGTGCCTTTTACTATACTTAATTTTAATTCCTGTACACACTGTGAAACTTTTTCTTAAGGTGAAGATAATAGATATTTGTAGCCCGTGGAGAGATAATGTTTGTAAAATTTGGAATAATTGTTTTTAGAAAGATCAGCTGAGCAGATAATGTGCTTTCCATTGGGCAAGTATCAGAGGAAATGACATAAAGTAACGGTACCACATAATTATAGTTATTTCCAATGTTTCTGTAAACAAGACTGAAAGTGAATTTGATAGTGTCATAATTTGCCAACTAGGTTATTGGAAATTTGTAATAATTTCACTGAATGCATTTTTGTAGAATTCCAATTACTTCTAGTTCATCTCTGATATTAAAACAATTATCTTTTTGCGTTTCTAATTGTGCATCTCTCTCTTTATTCCTAGCCTTTCCTTCATTTTATCATTTTTCTTTTTATTCTTCGATGTCTGGAATGGAAGTTTGGAAAGAAATCAATGAGAAAGGATCCTTTCTTTAGGTTGGAAGAAATCAAATTGGATTTTTTTATTTCATTGATCAATATTTTAAAATATTTTTTATGCATAAACTAATCCATTAACAAAGAGGTGCTGCATGCTAGGATAGGCTGGCATCATACCCATGTGCCAATGCAAATAATACAGAGCCAGATACCCAACTCAAAGAAAGTTACAATCTAGTGGAAGAAACAGAACTGAAACATTGAATGTTAAGGGCTCTATCTGACACTGTGCACGGTGGCACCAGGGAAAGTTAAAAGTGGCTGGTTCCGCTTAAAGAACAATCTATTTGAATAGATTGGCTGTTGAGGAAATGTTGCCCATCCAGGGAGAAGGAGTGGAATGATCAATGGGCCAATGACAGCAATAACTGTGCTCTTTTCCTGTGGTCATGGGAAACCCAGCTGGTGGATCACAGACTGGCTCAGTTATTGATGGGACTTAAAAGCTGAGACTTTTTATTGCACCACACACAGACAAAACCATAAACATCTTACTGCCTCTGTGTGTCCCATACCACATCAGCTTCATCTTCCACTACTACAGATAGTTGGATGGGAGACTGCCAAGATGAAACCAGACTTTCAAGAAATCTTCTAAGATCAGTGTGGGGAAGGAAGTCAAGGGAAGAGAGACTAGAATAAATTCTAGATATGCAGGACCAGACTTAGAATGGGGAGAAAAAGTAAAGCTGACACATATTCCAAAGAAATGGTCAGGCTTCACGAGAGATCAAACATCTAACTTGTACTTTCCGAGACCGTCCTGATTACAAATATTCTGGCCCATTTTCCCCGTGAAAACATAGTAATGCCTACATGTTGGTGTCAAAGCTAGAGCTTGCAGAAAAATTACTTCACTGAACTATGACATAAAAATCTTCCATCAGATATTAAGCTTCAAGTTAACCATTGATATTGAAAAAAATATTTCTATAGATAAGTAGAATGAAAGTCATGCAAGAAACAATGGCCATTAAATATAATCATGCTGTAGACAGAGGCAAGGAGGTTGTGAAGGGAAGAGGGTTCTCCAGGGAGATTATGGTGGTTTGTTAATTGCCCAATCTAGTCAAGCATAAGATTTAAAAAATGCAATATTTTCGATATGAGGATGAAAGCCAGAAATCAGTGATTAATGGATGGTTTTGACTCTAGAATTTCTCCAAGAAGCAGTGACGTGTGCCAAAACCCAGAAGAGCCACAAGGGGAAGATGAAGATGTTCAGATGGAAAGAGTGAGAACAGCGAATGCCTTGAGCTCCACAGATTTCGACGAGGTAAAACCTACAAAGCATAATAGTTATTTCATCCAATAACACAAATGTTTTCCCGTGAGTTGGTCTACCAGTCTAAATTCTCAAATGATTCTGAGTTTCCTTACAAATGAGGGGCAATATTTTAGTAGGTAGTTGCCATTTTTACATCTAAATGAGCAGATTAAAAGTCGAGTTAACTTTTTTCTTTCGCAGAATAAATAAAAAAGTAGAGCGCACTCGAAATTACAAAAGCCAAGAATTTTAGAAACTGAGCAAAGTGACACACATCGCTGCCTCTTGGAGAAAGTGCACAGTACGAAATGCAGGGTAAAGTCCAGGCCACAGCATTTGTTTTGTCCTTTGAGGATGATTCGGTGCTTTTCCAAGTCTCTTTGCTCCTGTTCTGAGCAGACAGGCAGATTGCATGAAGTAACACACTCCTGAGAAACTGTCTTTGTAGGAGAGGAAAACGACAGTCTCTTCTCTCCAAAAATAAGCGCTAGGGTAGGAGAATAACCAATGAGCGAGTCACTTAGCAGAAGGTCATCTTTGATACATGGCATAGTCAGCAAAAAGGCCAAACCCATGGGAGGATAGAGCTTTTTCAAAGTTAATGTAGAGAATTAACTGAAATGGTCTGACATGATCCACTTCTTGTTTACAGAAGCCAGTCATTATTGCCAGCTGTCTGCGCAAGGAGTATGCAGGGAAGAGGAAATGCTGTCTTTCCAAGAGGAAGAATAAAATAGCCACAAGAAATGTCTCTTTCTGTGTTAGACAAGGTTGGACACAAGGCTCTTCCACGGTTGGCCCAGAGCTCTCCTTATGGCTTCATGGTTTACCTAGAGACCCAGCAGGAGAGTGACAACGGCAACTCCTTTTACATGTTTCAATTCTTAGGTTAAATTAGTTAACTCACCCCAGGAATAGGAGCCTGGTCACATCTACATTGAAACTGTAAGCTCTCTATTAAAGTGAACCATCGAAGCCATGACACTTCTATTAAATGAACACAATTGATTTCCTAATGTTCATTATTTTTCACAAGAGAGCTGACTGCAGATGTACCAGCACGTTCTGAAGGCTTGACCAGCAGGTATTAGATGACCTCAATTTCTGTCATTATTGCACAGTGATTAGGATCACAGGAGACAGAATCTGACACACTTAGCTTCCAAGAGTGTCTTCGCCACTCCCCATCAGTGTGGCCTTGGGAAAGTAACCTCATCCTGAGAGCTTCTGTCCCCAAATACGTAAGAAGGGACTAGGATAACAACTTCTCAGGATGGTTGTGACAATTAAATGAGATATTATATATAAAGCACGTAGTGAGACTTCAGATTATGTTTTATTCTTAATTTTACTATTAAAATCAATTAATACTAAGTGTAACCATTTTTTCCAGGTGAGGTTTTAGGATTATTAGGACACAATGGAGCTGGTAAAAGTACATCCATTAAGGTGATAACCGGAGACACAAAGCCAACTGCTGGACAGGTAGGTGAATTATGTGGAAAATATGTTATCTAGGATAAAATAAATTTGTAAGATGTTACAACCTTATACACAGCAAAACACCATTTAATCATTAGATGATTAACGCAAAATACAGGAGAATAAACTCACAAATTATCACAGAAATGCACACAAAAATTAAGCAATAATAGGGAATAATTATTCAAAGACATTAATGGAGAATGTCTAGTATCAGATCAGATCCATACAAATCCTACTTGTACTACCATAAAGCACATGGATTTGCACATTTAGTGAGCATTGTCTTTCCAGTATGTAATACCTTAATCATGAGTAAAATTGTTAAAAAAAAAACAAAAAACTTTATTAGGCAGTTATATTCATTGTCCTTCACAAAGTGCTTAGTTATTTAAATATGCATTTTTGTGCAAATACACTATTTCTCGGGAGTATTTTCAAGGAATGGCTCAAAAATGAACAGAGGTGGTGAAGTCAACTTTAATTGTACTTACAATTTAGTTGTATTCGGTGGCCGGACAAACAGAAAAAGGACTCAGATTTGTCAAAGAGAGAGACACGACTGGGTAAAGATGACACATTTCTTCCAAATTTTATGGCAGAAGATAGAAAACCTTAAGAACTTCTTTGAAAATATGTCCAGGGGAAGTACGGAACAGAATATAACACTGAGGTCTGTGGAACCGTACTATGGAAAAGCAATTGGTAGTCGAGACAACGAGGGAAAAAACAGCCAAGGATGCTACTGATGAACACCCCTAAAGAGAGAGTTCTCTGGAGGCTCAGTGAGGGCAGGTGTTCGTGAAGGCCTCTCTCAGTAACTGAGGGTAGCACAGCCAACCCTCACAGACCCCCTAACTTTAATGATGAATACCCTCCAACTCAATCACCACCTGGACCTTAAGTCAGTATTTTATTTCTCACTAAACATCAGAGACAAAGAGGTAACTGCTCCTTGATATACTGAAATGGAATAATTTAAAAGGTAAGATCCTAAGTGTTATATAAAGCCAGCTATTTGGGTGGCATGAAATGAGCTTAATTAGATCAGCTAGAGTGACTTTTTTGGCACCACGTCATTCTCCTGATTAAATACTTTCAACCACCTCTCGCTGCTCTGTTGCTGGAAGGATACCTCCTCCCTTGTCTTGCAGGTGGCGGCAAGAGCTGACTTCCCTGTCCCCTCTGCCATATCTCTGTCTTCCCCTTCTTCATGCTGCTCCAGGCCCCCTGCCTTTGCCTTGGCCCCAAGAATGCATCAAGCTTCATCCCTGCACGAGGCTCTGGTCTTGCTCTTTGCCCCCAAATTTCTTGCCTCTGGCTTTTTCCGTGACTGGCACCTTCTCTTCTTCCACTGAAATGGCCCCTCCACAGACAGGCTCTGTGGTCACCCTCCCTAAAGTCACTTCCCTGTTATTCTCCGCCTCAGCCTCCTGAATTTCCACAACAGCATCATTTCTGATCTGTCTCCATTCTGTTTACTCATTTCTCTACTTGTTTCTTGCCTGATTCATTCAGCAGAATGAAAACTCCAGAGAACAGGAGCACGAGTTGTTCCCTTCTCGGTCGTACCTGCAGGAAGCACAGCCTTTGTCACATAGGAGATACTCCAGAAGACCTCTGATCCATGAATGACGTTAAATAGTAAAAAGTCAACATGCTTCATTCTGACAGTGATGGAAAAATTGGATAGAAACTGTTGGCCGTGATGGCCGGGCACCGCACTTGTAGGCTATTTGATTTTCAGCTGAGATCAGGTCGCTGGCTGTGCACACACTTGTTTTCACATATTTACTTTTTGAAAACTTTTCTCTAATGCAAAATAATGACAGATTATTAAGCTCAGTTAGGCCCTAGAATTTCTCTAGTTTTTCTAGGTTCGTGAGGAGCAAGATGTCACGGACATACTCAGAGAAGCAATGCAGAACATAGGCTCTGAAAGGAAGCTTTCGTCCATAGGTGCTATTGAAAGGAAGCGGTGGAGGGGACACCCTGGGGTTCCTGGGGTACTGTCCTCAGGAGAACGCGCTGTGGCCCAGCCTGACGGTGAGGGAGCATCTGGAGGTGTACGCCGCCGTGAAAGGGCTGAGGAAAGTGGACACGGAGGTCACTATTACACGGTACGCGGTGGGGGAGGGGTGATGAGCCACACCTGTTCTGTTCCATACCTGAGGGGGGTCTGGGGGAGGTTGAGAGTGATGCTCTTCACAGAAAACTCAGGATAAGAGACTCTAAATGCTGACCCAGGTTGCACTCAGCAGATTTGCAACTGGAAACTGGTTTCCCAGATTTCAAAATGCTAATTATTTTTTCTCATATTAAACATGAAGACTTAAAAAATAACTATTCATTGGTAAATTGTATCAAAAATACTAAAAATTTTTTTGAAAAAAGTTTATTTCTATTTATTCATTTATGCGAAGACAGTATGAGTAATAGGTAATAGGATATATTTTTAAGTTTAAAATTAATTTGCTATTTTCAAAGTTTGAGACTTTGTCTCTTCTTTCTACCTTACTCTTTTAAATATTTCACTCCAACAAAACAGCAGACAAATAAAAGTTTATTCCTTCACTTTTCCTTGAGATTATATTGGGATAATTAGAATTGACTCTTAAACTATTTATCCTAGAACAACTATTTGGATATCATGACATGTACTTCTATTCTTTCAAAAGACAACATTATCTTTTGGGGGGAAATAAACCAACCAGTAATATGGCCCCTCCTCACCCCACCACCACCAAATGTATTTTCAGAACTGCATTTTTTTTTTTTTAGAGATGGGGTCTCATTATGTTGTCCAGTCTGATCTCGAACTCCTGGCCTCAGGCTATCCTCTCACCTCCCAAAGTGCTGGGTTTATATGCGTGAGCCAGAACTGCATTTCTGAGCTCTGCTCCCGCATCCTTGCGTGGTCCATCTTCCAATCAACTTCCTCTTTGTCAAGAAGACTTAAAGGCTCTATAATTTTTGTTTCAGGTTAGTCAACATGCTCAAGCTGCAGGACCAGCTGAAGGCTCCCACGAAGACCTTATCGGAGGGAATGAAGAGAAAGGTAGGGCAGGGCTTAGGATTACTCTGCCTACTGCCATAGATGGGTGCCAGATGGGCTGTTACTCTTGTTCCAGCTGTGCTTTGCGCTGAGCATCCTGGGGAACCCGTCAGTGGTGCTTCTGGATGAGCCGTCGACTGGGATGGACCCCGAGGGGCAGCAGCAAATGTGGTGAGGAGTGTTCTCACAGTCAGGGTCCACGTGGGAGCCTTGCAGGCAGTTGGTGAACCATTTTACTCCCGCAAAAATTGTCCCTTAAACTGCTTCTCAAGGTGGGAGTAATAAAAAAAGATCAATATCATTAGTAAAACCAATACTTTGCAAAAAAATATTTCCCTGATAATATTTTAATATTTTGTTATATTGAAGGAAGGATAACCATTGTCAGGGTCTGCAGGTACTCACTGAGTACTGTAATTGCTCAATTGATCTTTGAGGTGAGTGGGTACATCTCTGTACCACAATGACAGTGTCCAGTACTTGGCATGAGAATAGTAGTTCTCGTGAAGTTGTAAAAGTGGCCATTGTGCGTGTTCGCCGTGCACTTGTTTTCTTCCCATGAGGTTATGGCAGTGCTGTTGCTGAGTTTTGTGTCTTCTTTTCCTTTCCCACAGCCTATTCATAAACAATTCTCTTTCTCAGCATTATGCTTTCCATGCAACCTTGTAATAAATGTATTCTGCAAACTTCCCTTTTCCAAACTTCCCTTGCCAGTTTAACAGCTCTCACCAGCTTGCCCTTCCTCATCTTACCTGCCCTCTTACGAGTGTTCCCTTAGTTTAATCTCTTTTTGCTAATTTTTCACATTCATGCCAGTTAAAAATTCTTGTTTCTATCCATTTCTGGTTAATTAGAGGATTTCCTAAATTAGCAATCATTTCTTGACAATATAGGCAGGCAATTCGGGCCACGTTTAGAAACACGGAGAGGGGCGCCCTCCTGACCACCCACTACATGGCAGAGGCCGAGGCCGTGTGTGACCGAGTGGCCATCATGGTGTCCGGAAGGCTGAGGTGAGTGCCCGCCCTGAGCCCGCACTTGCGCCCAAAGTGCATGGCTGGAAAATTTTGTCTGTGAACGTCACTGAGAACAGCTGGAACTGCTGAGCCCAGATCTAACAGTAAAGACCTTGGGACAATGCCAGCAGCACATGGAGGGCCTCAAACACCAGATTGTATGTCTTTTCCTCCTTTCTCTTCTGAACTCATCCTCCTCCTCCCTCCAGATGCATCGGTTCCATCCAACAGCTGAAAAGCAAATTCGGCAAAGATTATCTGCTGGAGATGAAGGTGAAGACCCCCACACAAGTGGAGCCCCTCCATGCAGAGATTCTGAGGCTTTTCCCACAGGCTGCTCGGCAGGAAAGGTAAACACAGGGGCTGTTTTTGATACCGCACCAAATGTTCACTTTTCCTTGTCGGTTACATTGACTTGCAGTCATTCAAAAAGGAAACCTAAAAGATAGACATTATTCGTTGGATAGCGCAGGACGTAAACTAGAGAAGAGAGAGCAGGTGTAAAAGCTGATGAAGTGAGTGTTGTGGTCCCACTGTGTGCCACGTGTTGTCCTGGTATTGTGTTATTTTATCCAATCCTCATAGAAACTTTTCAAAGTAGACACTGTTATTCCAATAAAAAATGAGACCTCAGAAAAAGTATTGTGAAGGTCTAGCCTTTACAGCAACCTTCATAAACGGAATCAATTATTATCTTTATGAAAGAGAAATTGACAGAGAGGCTAGGTCACGATGACTGAGCTAACAAGCTGCAGAACCAAGAGGTAAACCTAATCATTTTATTTCAAATCTATTAATATTTCCAAGTTTCTATAAATTCTGGTAATGGTACCATCCACATACAGCAAAAATCAAGATCAACTTTGCCGTCATTTTTAATATCTCGAATTAACTGCAAAAGAGATGATTTAGGAGTTAGAAGAGAAAAAAGATAATAAGTAAAAATAGGCCATAATGATAATGTGGGAAAATATATTTCTCCAGTGGATTGTAAATACCAAAGCAATGCCATAACTCAACAAGCAGCTCATGATGGAATAGAAATATATCATGAAGGTTCAAGGAATAAGCAAAATGGATGAGAACGGTTGCCCCAGAAATATACAAAGTGATATGAAATGAAATATAAATCTTCCTGATTTTAAAATGATGAAAAGGCAAACATTTATCTGAGAAACAAATTATTGAAATATTATTGTTGCTGACATGATTTGGTATGGAATTCCTGGTCTAATCAGAGACTCAATTACATTGTCCTGTATTAGGAAGGCGGTTTGAGTAGGACGGAAGAGAAGGAGAGGTACACGTCTTACAGGGAATACACCTAAATTTCTACCCAAATTGGGGGATTTTAAGAAACTCAGTCGGTTCCTGGTTGAAGGATGAAGTTGAAGATCAAGGGTTCAGCTTAGAAAATAAAGTGGAAGATGCCTTTGGCAACTCTGGAAATATCAGCTGGACAGCACCTACCCACTTCCATCCAAGGAGCCAAGGACACTAAACTGAGTCTTAACACTCACTTGGCCCAGTTCTCTTGTGAACCGCCTCCTTTTGATTATTATAGATTCACCCTACACTCTTTACCTACACCAAACTGACTCTCGTTTACAGAAATAAAGACCCAGATACAAAGCTACACTGATTAAAGCAATATGGTACTGGCATAACAACAGACACGTAGACCAATGGAACAGAATAGAGAGCCCAGAAATAAATCCATTCATGTACGGTCAACTGATCTTCGACCAGGGTGCCAAGAAAACAAGATGGGGAAAGGATAGTCTCTTCAACCAATGGTGCTGGGAAAACCAGATATCCACGTGCAAAAGAATGAAATTGGACCCTATCTTACACCACACACAAAAATCAACTCAAAATGGATTAAAAACGTAAACATAAGACCTGAAACTGTAGAACTTCCTAGAAGAAAACATAGGGAAAAATCTTCATGACATTGTTCTTGGCAATGATTTCATGGTTATGACACCTAAAGCATAGGCAATAAAAATAAAAATGAACAAGTAGGATGATATCAAACTAAAAACCCTCTACACAGCAAAGAAAACAATCAACTCTCTTCTCCTCTTCTCTCCTCTCAGGTACTCTTCTCTGATGGTCTATAAGTTGCCAGTGGAAGATGTACGACCGTTAGCCCAAGCTTTCTTCAAATTAGAGAAGGGTAAGAACTATAACTTTGAAATAAGACCCTGGACAGAAGATAATTCCAAATCATAAAATAATCCATCTACATGACAAAAATGAAATATGACATAATGCATTAAATTTAGAAGTTAAAATCTCAAATTGAACACCAAAACCAAGGAGGAGGAGGAAGGATTCTGTGCATGTATGTGGCAAATGGGAGTGATTTTTACTTTTGCTCCTTGGGGGTTTTTTTCATGTATTTTCATGTATTTTTGCGCATATATATATTGGTACAACCTAAGTCAAAACTCAGCTATATATCCACTTAAGAAGAATACTTTTTTTGGAACATTGATCCTTGCATATTTCAAATTAACTTTTCTGTGGACTGGCATATTATTTTATTGCCTTAGGTTGTATGTTAAGAAACTAACTTCTGCCTGGTCATTGAAACAATCTTCTTGGGTCTGTTGTTCTCTAAAACTGACCACACTGCATCCAGCATAACGGATCCGTGCTTTCCTTGCACTTCTAGGCCATTAACTCTGCTACTCTGAACTGTGCTAGTCGGAACTCCCTCTCTACCCTGTTTCCATTGTCACCATTCAGTGACATGTCTTTGCTTGTTTGTCATCTACCCTGAGGAAGAGATTTAAATCTCCTGGTTCCAGAAGATTCTCCTGACTCTTGTTGATAGCAGCTGTGGTCACAGTGATGCATAATCTTTTCATTCTCTGAGCTGAGTGCCCCAACTTTCCGGGCCAGCACTCCCCAGATTGGCACTGATGCCCAATACTGGCCTGGAACTTTTGGTGGCATGCTGCCAGTCTGCTGAGCTCCTATCAGAGCTCTAATTGTCCCTCCCTGTCTATTTTGGTCAATAAAAGTTTTCAACCCAATTAGAGGAAGCTGCAATGGCTTTTGCAAAGAGACCCGTGAAGATATCTGCTCACTAAGAAACCTCAGATACCCTTCTCTACAATCTAGTGCAACCCTTTTCAAAATTGTCTTCCTGCTATATCTCCCTGTGCTGAATGTGCAAAAAACACTGGTTCATGCACAGGAAATGAGGATTTCCCAGTATCATTTCCTCCCTTAGATACGGATCTCAAAAACTGTGTAATAAGCAAACATAACACAGGCACGTTTTCCCCCCAAACCTAAGTAAATGCATTGGTGTATTTTTAACTGAATGATATACTTAAAGACAGGGATGAATATTATCTTAACCTATTTATTTAAGATTTTCTAAAAAAATAATGTATTATTTGTATTGCATGCTGATTTATCAGACCATAGAGATATAAAAAATACATAAACCTCTAATATATGTTCATCCTTATCCAGTTAAACAGAGCTTCGATCTGGAAGAGTACAGCCTCTCACAGTCTACCCTGGAGCAGGTGGGTCATTTTTGGTGATTCTGTATCATCTGTGGAATGTAAGTGTGTAACAGGTGTATTCTTTGCACTTGCTTGGAAGGAGTGCGCACGGGAGGCAGTATGACATTTTTCTCCTCTCGTAATTTCTTTCCTCCCTTTCAGGTTTTCCTGGAACTCTCCAAAGAGCAGGAACTGGATGATTTTGGTGAGGAAATTGATCCCTCAGTGAAGTGGAAGCTCCTCCCACAGGAAAAGCCTTAAAGCCCAAATTATGTGTTCCTGGTTAAGCCTGTGATTGTTTTTTTTTTTTTTAAAGACATTTATTTTTATAGCATCAATGTTACATTTTTAGAAACTACATTCTAAGCACTGAAATGGTTCTTCCTGTGGGCGGAGGAGGTGGGGAAGGAAGAGCAAGTGGCATTTGACTGAGCTGACCTCCCAGCACAGCCTGGGTATCTCTGCAGCCACTGGTTCCATTTTTCTGTACAATGCTGAATTGACAAATTTACTTTTATAAGATTGTTTAAGTTTCTGAGTATGATAAACAAATTTTGTTTAATTTTTTTTTATCAAAGCCTTAAAACGCTTTTTTCTAAGCTAGACTGAGAAATCCATATATTTACTTTTCTGGGAGTTTGACACTTTGAAAAGTTGACTTTTTAATAAGAATTTAAAAGTATCAGACTTTTCGAAATAGATTTTCGTGCGTTTCTCATGGCTAAAAATACTAAATATCATTGGTCATAATATCTGATATCAATATATTTGGTAACCTATCCACTGGTAACACCATGATATAGACATAATCTGGAAAATCAAAAACTTACTATTAGAAATTGATTGCACTTTTTTCAATTTCTGTAAACTGTGTGCCATTTTGATTGTACTTTTAAATCTAGGCTCTGGAGATGCCTGTGTTGTAACAAATCTTTCATGGATGTTTGTCACTTGGTTTCAGAAGGCTGATAAATGTAATAATAGGTCAAATGACAGAGTAGGTGAAAAATGTAAAATAAATCTAATACATGTAATTTTGAAATATGTTTTCTATTTCACGTATTTCATGTGTTTTTTTTCTTAACACAGTGGCCTCATATTTACAAATTTCACTGGAATGTCATTAAAAAATTTCTAATATAAGCGTAATTACTGGACTTTAAGACCGTCACAATAGGATTTTCTGCTATACTAGCATTAGGCTAATGTTTTGGATACTGGCCCAATTATTACCCTTGCCTGCTAAATATAATAATTAAATACCAGCTCCCCTGGTAGCAAGCAGAAACATTTCCTAGAATAATCCTCTAAAAATATAACACACATGATTATCTACATGTATAAAATGTAATTATACAAGATTTTCTCAGTCGTGGAGATGATTTTCTGAACCCTGCCAGTTTTTTTCCCCTCCTTTCTTCCGTTTTGAGATCCCTGGCCTTCCCAACCTCAGAAAATTATTAGCAGCTCAGAATATTCTGCTCAGGAGAACACTTCTGCCCTGAGTCCCTTCCCAAGCCCAGGATCTAGTTGAGGTCTGTTCATTCATCTTCACTTTCTCTCTCCAGTAAATTCTGCAGTAAGGAAGATACGCAATGTTTTTACCATGACGGGAGCCAAGTGCCCCAAGGGACACCCTTTGTCTACTTCACACCAGGAGAATATCCACAGCTGTGAAAGGATTGAGGGAAGAGACTAAACTGTCACCACAACCTAATACAGGGCAAACAGTAAGATTTTGAAGGGGGTGTGGCTCAATGTTCTTTTTATAAGTTCCAGAATCTTCTTATTTTATTTCTGATAATTTACAATTCGTGTCCTTGGCCTTCTCTTCACGTCCAAGAAAAAAATACATGCGACCTACAGGCATGCCTTGGAGACGTTGCAGGTTCCGTTTCAGACTACTGCAGTAAAGTGAATATCGCAATAAAGCAAGTCATAAATTTTTTGGTTTCCCAGTGCATGTAAAAGTTATGTTTACACTACACTGTAGTCTGTTCAGTATACAATAGGATTTTATGTAAAATAATAATAATAATAATAATGTGCATGCCTTAATGAAAAATTACTTTATTGCTAAAAAATGCTAACATCAAAGATCACTGGTCACAGATCACATGACAGACATAATAATAACAAAAAGGTTTTAAATATTATGCAAATTACTAGAATATGACACAGAGATACAAAGTGAGCACAAGCTGTTGGAAAAATGGTGCGTATAGACTTGCTCGACACAGGGTTGCCACGAACCTTCAATTTGTAAAAAATGCAGTATCTGAATAGTGCAGTAAAGCAAAGCACATTAAAACAAGGGATGCTCGTAAACTGAACAGAGATTAGAGTTGAGATCTTAGCCTTTGGGAGCCTGAGTGACATAGGTCTTAGTTTTGGGATTGCGAGGTAGCTTGTATCCAAGTTCTAAGTTGGCTGAAGCTGCTCTGCTGCCACCGGTCAGAGAACTGATGAGGACAAAGCATAGAAAATGCTAGAAATTCTGATTACCTTGGCTTTGATTTGAAATATGACTCCCTGGAATGGTTGGGGTGGTTCTGACACTAAGGAGAGGAGACTTTGTGGCACTTTGGATCACAGGCTTCTGCAGTACTGCAAAGCACACAGAGAGGAGGGTGGGATACATGTTGGAATCCAATGTTTCAAGTAAAACAAAAATTTCAAATATCAGCCAGACCTTTCCTTCGAACCCCACCCATATATCCAGCCATTTGGTTGATTTCTCCAGGTGAAAGTCTAGTTGGCATCTCAAACAGAATGTGTCTAAAATAGAACTTTCAATATTTCCCTTGGCTTTCTCCATCTCAGCAAATAGCAACACCCTGGTTGCCAACCTAAGGACAATTCTGGATTTCTCTCTCCTCATTTCCCTCAGGTAATCCAACAGTACCATTGCCTCTGCCTCCAAAATGTATCCCAAATGCATCCACTTCTTTTTGTCTACTGCTACCACCCTGGTCCAGGCTACCATCATCTCTCACCCAGATTTCTGCATTAGCCTCCACACTGTTGTTCCTGCATCCAATCTTGCAATGAAGACTGCAATAAAATGGAATCCCTAAATTTCATTTTCCACACAGCAGCCACCAGTCATATCATGTCACCCATCTTCCCTTTTAAAATCCACCCTTACACTAACATAAAAAATTCAAATTCCCTATAGATCCTTACATGATGTGACCTCTGCTCATCTCTCTGAGATTCCAGCCACATTGGCCTTCTTTCTGTTTTTTAAATAGAAGATTGCTCCTACCCCAGGACATTTGCATCTGCTATTCCTGCTGCTGAAAATTCCCTTCTCCCAGACATTTAAACGCTCTGCTCCTGATTGACCTTCAGGTCTTAGATCAAATGTCTCCACTTCAAAAATTCCTCCCTGACCACACAATCGAAAGTAGCTCTCAGTCACTCTCACTATTTTCCCTACTTTATTCTTTTGAAATTTAACTCATTTATTTATCTGTGGATGACCTGTCTCTCCATGTCCCCCAATTAAATTCAATCTTCATAGGTACAGGAGTCCTATCTGTCTTGTTAACCATTATTTTCCCATATACTAGAATAGTGCTTGTCCCATAATGGGCAACCACTAAATAGTTATTGAATTAATTATTTAACTAAGTACACACCCTGCTTCCCTCTGTGATAGCATTTATTATTGTGAAATGTAATCACCTGTGACTACAATTTTTC